GACGTACCACTCGTCTAGTTGGTGTGGGTCCCCCTGAGGCAGGCAAGTGTCATACAGGTCGTAATTTAGGCTGTCTTTGAAATGGCTAAGGAGGATGTGCCGCCCGTATTCCTCCATGTAGCTGAGGACTTGGGTTAGGAAAATCCCCAAGCATGTCGGCTCCACCTTGAATTTCGCGTCCAGCGGGTCGGCAGGGAGTGGGGGCTGCTGAAGTGGTCGCTACTGGATCAGCGGACGTCCCCGGGACTGCAGGTTCCAATTCCCCATCAGTGTCCCTCCAGCTGCAGCTCGAGATCCTGGTGCGGCCGCGGGGCTCAGAATTCTCCTCCCTTAAGGAGCCAAGGGTTCTTTTCATCAGGTCGATAGCTTTCTCTAGGATCCAGTTTGAGTGCTGTGCCCAACTTCCTTCCTCTTCGCTCATGTGCAGGGATTTCTCCATCTCTTGCTTCCATTCTGGTTGGTTGGCCCCCTGTCTCAGGATCACCTTTCTTGATCTCTTTTACCACTTGCCTTTCTTTCCAACAGCCATTGATCACCAAGGTTTGTGGTTACGCATCTCCACCATCTCTTCTCCTGAGGAGTATGACATTTCAGATCCCGACAGCTGGCAGGGTTTCGGTTGGGGGAAAGGCTACCTCTCCATGGGGGTTTCTCCCTTCCCTGCCTCGACATCTGACATTGTATTTTTTGCAAAGTTCCCCAGCAAGGTTCTCCCTTCCAGGTTGACTATTACTGCAGATCCTGTCTAATGTAAGGATCCACTTCAATCCACATCTTAAGAAAGCAGAACTCTTGGAAACGGTCTCTTCCAACAGGAACTTTTATTAAAAGAAACTGATGGCAGACATGATAGACAGGATCTGAGGGATTCCCTTACAATGCAATGTTTTAAATTGTCCCTAAGCAGCCCCCCACCCTGCAGTTCTTCCGGCGATTCAAACCGGCAGATTTCTAGGTGTTAACTCCAGGAGAGATAACATCGATCCGGCTCCGCTGGCACAATCATTCAACATCTCCTCACACAGATCCCAGATGCTGCATCTTTTTCCCCCCTTTCTCTTGCTGGCTGGTAAGAGGAGAAGTTCAGAGGAGCATAAGATGAAAGGCAAATGGCTACATTGTTATGGTTAGCAGATCCAAAGCAAATCAACAAAAGGTTACTTTGTAGTGAATAGAGGAAGTGAAAGTAAAATTGGTTTTATATCAGAGAAGATAGATAGAAATGAAATATAACTGGATTCTGACACTATCCAACAAAATATTCAATGGTAAAAATGTAGACAAGAAAAACCAGATGTACAGATAGGTGGTATCTGGTTTATCAATAATACTTGTGAGAAAGATCTGGGGGTCTTGATAGACTACAAATTAAGGATCATCCAGGAATGTACTACAGCTGCCAAAAAAGCCAATGCAGTTTTGGACTGCATCAATAGGGGTATAGTGTCAAGATCATGGAATGTGATTAGACCATACTTTTTATCAAGCTCTGGTTGCCACAGCGCAAAAAGGACACTGAAGAACTAAAAAGAGTTCAGGGAAGAGCAAAAAAGACAGCAAAGATGTTGGAGGCTAAATCCTAGCAGTGAAATAGCAATAGCAATAGTACTTAGATTTATATACTGCTTTACAGTGCTTTACAGCCCTCTCTAAGTGGTTTACAAAGCCAGCATATTGCCCCCTACATTCTGGGTCCTCATTTTACCAACCTTGGAAGGATGGAAGGCTAGGTCAACCTTGAGCCGGTGAGAATGGAACTGCCAAACTGCAGGTAGCCAGCAGTCAGCAGAAGTAGCCTGCAGTACTGCATTCTAACCTCTGCGCCACCATGGAACTAGCTATGTAAGGTATGTTTAGCTTAAAGAAAAGCAGGCTAAAAAGTGGCATGGTAGCAGTCTTTTAATACTTGAGTATGACACAAGGAAGAAGGTGTGGCTTTATTCCCCAGAGTACCCAGGGATAAGTAAAAAAACCAATGGGTGGAAGCAGAATAGAATAGAATAGAATAGAATAGAATAGAATAGAATAGAATAGAATAGAATAGAACTTTGGAGGTTTTTTAAGCCAGCCCCCTGCTCAAGCAGGAGAACCAATACCATTTCAGATAAGTGACTGTCTAGTCTCTTCTTAAAACCTTTAGTGATTGAGCACCCATGATTTCTGAAGACAAGCTGTTGCACTGGTTAATTGCCCTCACTGTTAGGAAGTTTCTCCTTAATTCCAGGTTTCTTCTCTCTTTGATTAGTTTCCAACCATTGTTTTTCGTCCTGCCCTTTGGAGAATAATTTGACCCCCTCTTCTTTGTGGCAACCCCTCAAATTCTGAAATACTGCTATCATGTCACCTCTATTTCTTCTTTTCTTTAGATTAGCCAAACCCAAGTCCTGCAGCCGTTCTTCACATGTTTTATCTCCGGGCCTTTGATCATCTTTGTTGTTCTTCTCTGAACTTTTTCCAAGGTGTCACCTTTTTTGTAGTATGGTGACTAAAACTGGTTGCAGTATTCCAAGTGGGGTCTCACTAGGGGTTTATGAAGCAGTACTAATACTTTGTGTGATCTTGATTCTATGCTTCTGTTTATACAACCCAGGATTGTATTAACTTTTTTGGCTCCTGCTGCATATTGCTGGCTCATAGTCAAGTGATCGTCCACTAGGACTCCAAGGTCCCTCTCACAGTTACTGTTTTTGAGCCAGGTCTCGCCTAATTTGTACTTATACCTTTGATTTTTCCTGCCTAAATGTAAAACTTTGCTTTTCTCCATATTAACATTCATTTTGTTGGATAGGGCCCATTATTCAAGTTTGTCAAGATCTTTTTGGATCCTGAGTTTGTCTTCTGGGGTGTTGGCTATTCCTGCCACTTTAGTGTCATCTGCAAATCTGATGAGTTCCCCTTCTATTCCCTCATCTAAGTCATTTATGAAGATATTGAAAAGTACTGGACCTAAGATGGAGCCTTGTGATCCCCCATTGCTTATTTCTCTCCATGTGGATGTAGTATCAATGAGGATGACTTTTGAGTATGGTTTGTCAGCCAGCTACAAATCCATCTGGTGGTGATGTCTATTCCACATTTTTCTAGCTTACCAAGTAGTAGGTTGTTGTCTACTTTGTCAAATGCCTTACTGAAATCTAAGTATACTATGTCCATTGCGTTTCGCTGGTCTACTAGTTTAGTCACTTTATGAAGAATGAAATAAGATTGGTTTGGTATGATCTGTTTTTAACAAACCCATGCTGGCTACTACCAGTAGTTATAACTTTGTTTGCTTCTAATTGTTTGCAGATCTGTTTTTTAATTATCTTTTCCAGGATCTTTGCAGGTATTAATGTTAGACTGATTGGTCTATAGTTTCCTGGGTCTGTTTTTTTTCCTTTGGTGAAGATGGGAACATCAGCCCTTTTCCAATCCTCCAGTACTTCCCCAGTGCTCCAGGATATTCAAAAGAACAATGGTTCTGAGATAACATCTGTCAGCTCTTTCAGAACTCTGAGATGTAATCTGTCAGATCCCAGTGATTTATATTCATTAAGGTCGGATATGTGTTCTCTTACCATTTTCCTGCTTATTTTTTTATTTCTAGTTTGTCTTTTACAGTAGTTTTGTTTTGCTATTATTTCTTTTTGTGTGAAGACTGATGCAAAGAATAAGCAGCTCTGCTTTCTCCCTACTGCCTGTTACTTCCTTGCTATCTTCTCTCTTTAGTGGACCTACTGTTTCCTTGACTTTTTTCTTGTTATTAATATGTTGAAAGAAACTTTTTTATTATCCTTGAAATAAAGAGAGCTATTAAGCAGTGGAAATACCTTCCATCATTGGAAGTTTTCAAGAAAAGCCTCGATAGCCATTTTTCCAGAATGGTATGAGGATTCACACACTGGGCAGGGAATAGGATTAGACCTCCAAAGTCCTCTTCAATCCTATAATTCTGTGAGGATGAAAGGAAGGCATTTTGAACATGTCATGTCTATTGTGATCAAATTACTCTGCCTCCTCACTGGTTCATGAGCTCGGTTTATTGATAAAACCTGGACATCTTGTGGGTTGTATTTTTTCAAAAATTCTTTTTAACTCTATTTCAGGGAAACCACTTAGCTCCTTAAAAAAACATATTAAAATGCATTTTATTTTTTATAATTATTTCAAACATTTATTGTGTTATTGATTACATACTAGTCTCAAATTTCTGTTCAAGTAATTGGTGCTGTTTTTGCATCAAACATTGTGATGATTGAGGACTTTCCTTTTTTTCCTGCCCAGATTTTTTTTGGCTAACTTATTTAAAAGGAGGGAAAATTGCACAATTAGAAAGAATTAAGAAATCTTGAATCAATATCCCTATAAGAACAAAAACATTACTGGCTGGCTTAATGTAAATCTTTTTAGGGAGATCTGGCATAGATTTTGTTTAATGCAGATTTCCCCCACCTCCAAATAATAATGTTTTTGTCAGATCTGCCATCTGCAGCTTCTATGCTTTGCTGGCATCTTGTCATAAAATGCAAGGGAGAGGGAGAGTAGAGTAGTAGTGATGGGAACGTAAAGATAAAAGATGGGAGGGTGAAGGCGACAGCCTTAACAGAATCCAGAGGTACCAAGACCGGAATATACCAGTCCTTTTGAAGGACACCTGGCCTGAGAACGGAATGCGAAACTGCATTGAGTGGTGCCAAACAGCCAAGCAGTTCTCAAAACATCTGAACGGCACCCTATTGGACATTGATGAACTGGTCAAGGGGCAGGGCCAAGGAAAGGGGGAAAAGAAACCATTGCATGGGAATATTCAGATCTAGCCTTTCTTTTGCTGCAACCACTTACCCTTAGTAAAAGAATCTATCATTCCAACCAAATGGAGTTGAGGGTGTTTCTTTTCTAAGGACATAATCTGGGGCAAGCCTGACAGTTTTTATGTTTCTATACTGAAATGTATTGAGCCCACAGATAAGAACTCAGACTGCTGGATGCCCAACATATTTTCTGGTATCAGTCTGGCTTACCTTAGCTGAGATATCGAAGAAAACCCAGCTTCCTCAATCTGCTCTTTAAAGACTTGTAGTTCTTCTTCCAGTTTCCTTTTCTCTTCTAGAACATGCTGAACCATAGATTTTGGAGACTGCAGCATCACTTGCTGGTTGCCTTCGCTTTTCAAAGTCAGTAGAGCAGGATAACTGGAATGGCTCATCAAACTATCATCAATATCTCCTTTAACATTCTAGAATGTGCAGATATAATAAAAGAGTTATTCCTAATGACATAATCTAAATCTTCTGAAAATAAATGGCTAAATCAGGCATAGGGAATTTTGGGGGTCCATGTTTTTGCTAAACTACAGCTACTGGCCATTCCCATCTGAGGTTACTGGAAATTGTATGTCAAAAACATTTGGGAATGCCTCCAGCTCCCTGTCTTGGTGTTAAATAAGTATATAAATACACAGTTCTAGCAATAAAAATGCCTTCAATGCAATAAGAAAAACACTACATAATTTAATAGTGAGGAGAAGCATCAATTAACATTGAAAGAAATAGCAAATCCTAGAACAGGAATTCAATATTTTGTAATCTACATTATTTGCCTAATGTAGTCAAAGTCAACTTTTTATTTTGGTTATTAACTAGCCTTATATAACAAAAACCATAGAAATAAAATAAAAGCTAAAATAAATAAAACAAAATGGATTAAAAGATAAGTTAAACACAGCCAACACAGGTGAAACTTTAATTTAGATAAACCATGTCAAAGACTGAGACTGTTAGCATTAAAGCTTCTGTGTAGAGACTATAGGAAGTATAGGAAGAAACAGATAAACAGGAGAGTTATCAGGTATTGATATTGATACTATTAAACATTAAAAGCAAGTTTAATTAAGTCAAACTGTCCAAACTGAGCATCTATCAAATCTTGCTATTAAACTAGGGCTTTTTAACCTTTTCACCCATTGTACCACTTTTAGGATATGGCAACATCCAAGTACCACCAGTCGCCTAGCAAGGTGTCAAAAACTTGATGAACCCCCCCAAAAGGAAAAAAGTGATGAAGTACAGGTAGTCCTCGACTTACAACAATTCACTTAGTGACTCTTCGAAGTTACAATGGCACTGAAAAAAGTGCCCCCCAAGCCACAGCCGAGCAAGACATCTGCCTGCCCACCCGCTGGTGCTCTTCCTCCTGTCTGAAGTTTTCATTGTTGTGACCATTTCTGTTGAGGATTGGCAGCGGGGGTGGGGGGGTGTTTGGTTTTTATTCCCCCCGTCTGCTGGGTGGTTGCAGCAGGTTTTGGTCACTTCACATGACCCTGGGATACTGTGACTGTCATAAATATGAATCAGTTGCCAAGCATCTGAATATAAATCAGAAGACCCTGGAGATGCTGCAACATTCCAGCTGATTGGCTCTTCTTCTGGGTCAGTAGAAGCACCAGGATCAGTGCCACTTTCCAGGTGATTGGTGCTTCTTCAGGGCTCAGCAGAAGCACCAGGATCAGCGCCAAACTCCAGCTGGAGCCTGGCACTGATCCTGGTGCTTCCACTGAGCCCTGACAGCCCCAAAGAAGCACCGATCAGCTGGAAAGCGGTACTGATCCTGGTGCTTCCGCTGAGCCCTGACAGCCCTGCAGCTCCACCCATCTCTCGCTCAGGCTTGTGTGGTGCTGCCACCGGTTCAGCTCATTTCCCTCCCCTGCTACCACTTTTCTAGGATGGTTGTATACCGCCTGCCAGGTGCCAATGTACCACAGGTGGTACCTATACCACTGGTTGAAAAGCCCTGTATTAAACAACACCTGGTGATTTGATAAGAGAGTGAATTTCTCTGACCAATTAGACAGTAATTGAAATAAAAAGAATCATTATGGCCTAGATATTGAGCTAATGAAGGTATGTGTAAGGTCCTGCCTCAGCTAATACTCCCAAGAAAGCAGAACTCTTGAAACTGGCACTTTCAAATAGGAACTTTTATTGGGAGACAGTGATAGCAAAAAGCAAAGCAAGATTTAAAGAATTCCTGCGCAAATCATTACATTAAAACTTTCTTTTCACAAACTCCACCCAAGAGCCCAGCTATCCAGTTCATGTCCAGCCAATCCACAGGTATGAAGTTATTATGTGAACCGGAGCTGATAAGGGATGGTTCCCAGGCATTTCAACTAATCTCACAATGGTTCCATCTTTAAATCTCTCTTGTCTGGTTCATCAGTTGTCCGTTTTATCTGCTCACTCTCTATTTTTAGTTTCTGAGAGCTTTTTGTTGCAATGTTAAATTAGAGATGCATTCATTTATATTTTCAAAGTTATTTTTAATTTCCTTGTGATTTGAGATCATTATTGTTTGAGTTAGTTGCAACATTAGCATATATCTCCTGGAAAGTATTTGTTTTTCTTGGTATATTCTTTCTGCATATCTCTGGTTTTCCATGATAGCCCAAAATCAGGGTTTTCCTTTCCCTGCAGACAGCTTTAAAGTCACAGTTGAATAAGTATTTGTAATCCAGAAAAGTCAATGTTTTTCTCTAAAGTTTATAGTTCTCTCTTTGTAGGTAGCCCAAAATGTTTTCTTTTTGTCACAGTTGTTCTCTGTTATTAAGACATTGAAGGTCACCCAAAAACAAATTGTATTTTCCTGGGCTTTGCCAGTTCCTGTATTGAAATAACTACTATATTTTCATCCACCACTAGATGTCAGCACTAGTTTGTTTTTCAGTTTTCAGTTTTCAAAATAAACAATTATTTTCTTCTATTTTCATGATTTAAAAAAGAAATCTTAACACATTCCACCAATTTCAAACTCATCCAGATTTAGGACTTATATTCATTTCATTTCAGTATATTTCTGTCCCCACTTAAGAGTTTAATTCGCCGCTTCTGTCTGTAGGAGAAGAAGGGCAAAGATCCCCCTTCTTCTCACTTTCAGAGGCTTTTTGCTTCTTGGATTCCCCCCCCCCAGAAATCAATTATCAAGTAGAAGAGAGAAAATCACTGTTCTTATCCAGTTCCAAGCACGTTGTTTACAGTCAGCTTAAAATAGTGCTTTTGGGCTTCAGCTGCTTGTACCTAGACTCTGAAGTTAAGCTAGCCTTTCTCTGCTGGATTCTGGAAGGCTTTTCCCGGACTGATCGGATTGACCGCTATCTCTCCGCACTTGGAGGGACTTCCCTCCTTCTTTATCAGCTCTTAGGGAAAAGAAGGAGACATTAGCCAGCCCCTCCCTGGCTGGAACATAAATAGGAGGGGTTTGGGGAGTGGCTGTTTGTGACAGACAACCGTTCATGTTACTGAATACTTCAATCACTTGGATTTCTTTGCCAAGGTTTCTTTGCCAAGATTCAGGTTTCCTAGGACTCTTTGTTTGGGTGTGAAGTACTAATTAATTCTCCCTGCTGGGAGCCAATTGACATTAAAAGTGCCTTAGCCATGTGAGCTGGGACTGCTACTGCTTCAGCAAGCATTTAAAGACTTATTAACTGGGGTTTTCCCGTGAACATGGTTTGTTCCTGCCTTGTAAATAAAAGGGGTTTCTACTTACGAGTAAGTAATTGCTTAGTACTGGAGCAACATAGCGTACACTGTCCCCACAGTAGGGCAGATGCCTCTCCAGGTTGACCACTTTGCAGATCTTGCTTAATGTAAGGTCCTGCCTCAGATAATACTCCCAAGAAAGCCAAATTCTTGAAATTCTTGAAATTGGCATTGCTTCAAATGAGGGACAGTGATAGTAGAAAGCAAAGCAAGATCTAAAGAATTCCTACGCAAATCGTTACATTAAAACTTTCTTTTCACAAACAGAGCCCAGCTGTTCAGTTCGCATCCAGCCAATCCACAGGTTCAAAGTTGTTATGGGAACCGGAGCTGATAAGGGATGGTTCCCAGGTGCTTCAACAGATCTCACAAGAGTGGAGATAAGGCAGATGGCCCCTGTCACATTCTTCCCCCCTTTTCACACCCAAAGAAATAGATACAAAGTTTAGGGGGAACAAAGTAGAGGAAATACATCTGTAAGCCTTCCTCCCAGTAGAGTGAAATCTTCCCCTCCTGTCAGAATGGCAGAGCCCTGAAAAGAAACATTGAAGGGATTCCTGACAGTAGGATAATTTCATGTAGCATATCTCAGTAGGTTTAGCTACAGAGATTACCTGTGACAAAAGCATTCATTATGTAGAATTTTCTGGAATCTCATTTCTAGGACACAGTTTGTAGAAAAAGCTATAGTTGGTATATTTTGCTATGCCAGTTGTGGAAATCTTTCTTTCCTGCATTATATACAAAAATATTCAGGCTGAGAATTTAAACGAATTGAATGAATAGATAATACTGGACATTTTTTTTTCAAAAATTTGGCTTCCTGAAAAACTTTTGATGTTTATGATAGATCCCTTCAAATTTCAGAACAGAGATGGAAGGGACCTTGGAGGTCTTCTTCTAAATCTGGCTTCTAAAACTAGTTGCTCCCCACCCTGGCAATGTACCAAGGATCAAACAGAATGACACCAAGTGCCAAACAGAATGAACTAGCAATATAGGCTATCAGGACAGCATAGCATTTGTAAATCTCCATGCCATTGTATGCTGTATGGTAAGTAATAAATAATAAATTTCCTGGTGAAAACTTTCACCATATTTGTCACTGACTGCACTTAGATGTTCAGGAAAGAAGTCCGAATGTGAATGCAGAAAATGAATCGTCGATGACAGGTTGCACTTCATAGTCTTGTTTGCTGTAAGAAGCTTTTCAACCAATTGAACATGGTTTAGCCTCTATAATTGTAAAAAAAAATCTCAATGTGATCCTTGAATTATTTCCAGGCAATTTGAAGAACAGGGCAGCTTGGAACCAGTTTGTGCCAGCACCCAAGGCCATGCACCCTGAGAAAAGAATGTGGATTACCCCAAACATCTCAGCATTCTCAAAATACTTAGGAAAATCTTCATTAGTTGAAGGTGGACTGGTCACGGGTAGAGGGCAGGGATGAGGGGAAACATTTTGTAGCTTTTTGGCATGGGAAACTTAGTTCTAGTCTCTTTACTGCAACTAGCATCCTTTAATAAAAGAACCTATCACTTCAACCAAATGGAGTCAAGGGTCTTTTTTTCCTAAGGGGTCAGGGGCAGGTCTGACACTTTCTCTCAAAGCATGATTTAGCAAATTGGGCCTCCACACACCTTGCCAATTATATGGTTCCTAAGAAACACGATAGAGACTTCAGAACAGAATAACAGAGTTAGAAGGGACCTTGTAGGTCATCTAGTCCAACCCCTGCTCAAGCAGGAGACCCTATACCATTTCTGACACAGCTATCCAGTCTCTTTTTGAAAGCCTCCAATGATGAAGCATCCACTACTTTTGAAGGCAAGCTGTTCCATTGGTTGATTACTCTGATAGAAAAGTTCTCCTTATTTCTAGGTTGAATCTCTCCTTGATCATTTTACATCCAGTATTCCTTGTCTGGCCTTCAGGGTGCTTTGAAAAATAGGTTGTCCCCCTCCTCTCTGCGACAGCCTCTCAAATATTGGAACACTACTATCATGTCATCCCTGGTCCTTCTCTTCACTAGACTATGCCCAGTTCTTGCAACTGATTTTCATATGTTTTAGCCTCCAGGCCTTTGATCATCTTTGTTGCTCTTCTCTGCACTTTTTCCAAAGTCTCAACATCTTTTTTGTTGAGTGGCAACCAAAACTGGATGCAGTATTCAATGTGTGGTCTTACTAAGGTTTTATAAAGTTGTACTAATACTTCACATGATTTTGATTCTATGCCTCTCGTTATACAATCAACGACTGTATTAGCTTTTTTGGCTGCTACTGCACACTGCTGGCTCATGTTTAAGTGATCGTTCACTAGGATTCAAAAGCCCCTCTCACAGATTGTTTTTGAGCCAGGTTTTGCCTAATCTGTACTTGTACCCTTGATTTTTCCTGCATAAGTTTAAAACCTTGTTTTTCTCCACATTAATTTCATTTTGTTAGATAGGGCCCAGTGTTCCAGTCTCTCTAGATTGTTCTTGAGCCTATTATCTAGGATGCTGGTTATTCCTGCCAGCTTAGTATCATCTGCAAATTTGATGAGTTCCCCTTTCATTCCCTCATGTAACTCATTGATGAAGATATTGAAGTGTACTGGGCCTAAGGCGGAACCTTGTGATACCCCACTGCTTATTCCCTCTATGTAGAGGTAGTACCATTAAAGACTACTCGTTGAATGCAATCTGTCAGCCAGTTACAAATCCATCTGGTGGTGATGCTGTCTATCCCACATTTCTCTAGCTTACCAGGAAGTAGGTTGTGGTCTCCTTTGTTGAATGCCTTACTGAAGTCTCAGTATACTATGTCCACAGCATTTCACTGGTCTACTAATTTAGTTTTGTCAAAGAATGAAATAAGATGGGTTTGGCAAGATCTGTTTTTAACAAACCTGTGCTTGCTTCTAGTTATAACTTTATTTCTAGATGTTGGTAGATCTATTTTTTCATTCTTTTCCAGTATCTTCCAGGGTGGTTTGTAGTTTTCTGGGTCTGTTTTTTCTCTCCTTTTTTGAAGATGGGAACCACATCAGCTCTTTTCCAATCCTCAGGTAGTTCCCTGGTGCTCCAGGAGTTTTGGAAGATATGGTACAATGGTTCTGAGATGACATCTGCCAGCTCCTTCAGAACTCTGGGATTTAATCCATCAAGTCCTGGTGATTTATATTCATCAAGATCAGACAGCTGTTCTCTTACCATTTTCTTGCTTATTTTAATTTTTGTTTCTAGTTTGTCTTTTGCAGTAGGTTTTTTTGGTATGTTGGGCTATTATTTCTTTTTTTGTGAAGACTGATGCAAAGAATGAGTTAAGCAGCTCCGTTTTCTCTCTACTGCCTGTTACTTCTTGCCACCTTCTCTCTTTAGTGCAGGGCTTTTCAACCTTTTCATCCATTGTACCACTTTTAGGATATGGCAACATCCAAGTACCACCAGTCGCCTAGCAAGGTGTCAAAAACCTGATGACCCCCCAAAAAAAAAAAAAGGAAAAAAGTGATGAAGTACAGGTAGTCCTCGACTTACAACAGTTCGCTTAGTAACTGTTCGAAGTTACAATGGCACTGAAAAAAGTGCCCCCCAAGCCACAGCCGAGCAAGACACCTGCCTGCCCGCCCGGCGGCGCTCTTCCTCCTGTCCGAGGTTTTCATTGTTGTATTTCTGTTGAGGATTGGCAGCGAGGGTGGGGTGGGAGGTGTTTGGTTTTTATTCCCCCCCATCTGCTGGGTGGTTGCAGCAGGTTTTGGTCACTTCACATGATCCTGGGACACTGTGACCATCATAAATATGAATCAGTTGCCAAGCATCTGAATGTAAATCACAAGACCCTGGAGATGCTGCAACATTCCAGCTGATCGGCGCTTCTTCTGGGCTCAGCAGAAGCGCCAGGATCAGTGCTGCTTTACAACTGATCGGCGCTTCTTCTGGGCTCAGCAGAAGCACCAGGATCAGCGCCGAGCTCCAGCTAGAGCTTGGCGCTGATCCTGGTGCTTCCACTGAGCCCTGATAGCCCCGAAGAAGCGCCGATCATCTGGAAAGCGGCACTGATCCTGGCGCTTCTGCTGAGCCCTGACAGCCCTGCAGCTCCAGCCATCTCTCGCTCAGGCTTGTGCGGTGCTGCCACTGGTTCAGCTCATTCCCCTCCCCTGCTACCACTTTTCTAGGATGGTCGCGTACCAGCTGCCAGGTGCCAATGTATCACAGGTGGTACCCGTACCACTGGTTGAAAAGCCCTGCTTTAGTGGACTGTGTTTCTTTGATCTTTTACTTGTTATTTAAAGGTTGAATTCTTTTTTTAATTATCTTTGACTTTTGTTGCAAGTCTTTGTTCATTCCGAGCCTTTGCTTTCCTGACTTCATCTTTGCAGATTCTAGCTATCTGCTGATATATTACCTGTGTCCCTCTTTCCATTTTTTGTATTTATCCTTTTTGTCTTTCAGTTTATCAGAGAGATCTTTGTGCAACCGTGCTGGTTTCTTCTTGGATTTCTTGTTCTTTTTTGGTAGTATTGTGCTTTTATGATCATATTTTTCAGTTTTCCAAGCTTCTTGGGTTGTCTTCCCCTTTAGGATTTTCATCCAAGGAATCTTTCCCTAACTCTGAGTTTGTTAAAATCAGCTCTTTTAAAATCTAAAACTCTGGTATGATTATATTCTATTGCTTGTGTTTGCATTATATTGAATTCCAATATGACATGGTCACTCTCATCCAAGGTTCCTATAATTTCAATCCCTTCTATCACTTCTTCTCTGTTAGTAAGAATTAAATCCAGTATGACTGTTCCTCTAGTTCCCTCCTCTATCTTTTGGATGAAAGGTTGGTCAGGAACTTGTCCAATCTGTCGATTGATGTCAAGGTAATTAAAGTCCCCCATTACCATTGTAGTGTGCGTCCTACATATATATTTATTAATTGGTTAGCAAAAAGTACATCTATTGTTTCTGTTTGGTTGGATGGCCTGTAGTATACACCTATGGCAATGTCATTCTTTTTTTCTTATATGAATTCTAGGAAGTTTTTGTCTTTGGTTTCATACATTTCTGTAGTAATATAGCAGTCTTTTACATATAATGCAATTCCACCTCCTCTGGTGCATCTGCTTTTTTGAACAGTTTGTCTCCTTCTATCAGTATATTCCAGTCATGGGTTTCATCTCACAAAGTTTCAGTAATGCAACTATATCTTATCTACCCTCATGTACTAATAATTCAAGTTCATCCTTTTGTTCCACAAACTTTGAGCATTTGTATACTTCCCCCAATCATTGTCCTTACCATCATTGCAGATATCCCACTTTGAACGCTTTGGGGATTTACCTGTAGGTGAGAACAATGCTGTACTTCCTCTTCAATACTATCTGTAAACTCAGTGCTGGTATCTTTAGTATCATCAGCTGTAGTTAGATCTAGGCATGATGTGACAAAATGAGAATCATCATTTTGAGTCTTAGGTACTTTGATTTCTAAGCACCAAATTTTATCCGAGATCTCCAGTACAATCATCAGCAAGCTTGGCTTTGGATTTTTACCAACAAAATACAATAACTTTGTGACTGAACTCAAGTTTAATCTGAAAAAAATCTGCCTTCTGGATTGTCTTGGCAACTATACAGAAATAGCTGGCCATTGCCCTCTGAGATTTTCTTTCTCTAATTCCCAATCTAATCTACAGTCTATTCTTTCTTGGGCATCCAAGTATTTACAAATCAATTCTAAAATCTTTTAATTTGTTTAATTTATTTATGATCAGCCAAGAAACTATACAGATAGCAGATAACTCCTTTCCAGCTAAGGACTTTACTAATAAAACAAAACAGGAAAAAAGAAAAAGCTTGCAAGTCTCCAAGTGCTAAGGAATCTAGCAATAATTAACTTAATTTGACTTAATCTAATGGTAACAGATTAACAATAAAATTAAAAAAAATCAAAAGCACAAAGGGCATAACCTGCAAAAAAGAGAGCAAGGAAATGAATAACAAGCTATTATTATTATTATTATTATTATAATTTAATTTATATACCGCCCTTCTCCCGCAGGACTCAGGGCGGTGCACAGCGTATTAAAAACAGTACAAATACAAAACATAAAAATACAAACCCCTATAAAACCAGATTAAAAAAACCGAATATTAGAAGCTGTGTTTCTATTTAAAATTATTTTTAAAATCACCCTAAATAAAATCCTCATAGAAAAATAAGGAAATAGATTAATCATAGCTCTATCTGAATGTTTTTCAGTTTGGAAGTTCAAATTTACAGCAACAGATGGTTACAGGAACTGAATCTGCTTATTTCCAGCTCTGCACCAGTTTATTTGAAACCGAAACAAAGTGATTTGGTTTTTCCTTTTGTAATACTGCGGCCGTGTAAAGTTTGTGGATGGCAGTGTTCCCATTGGCTGAATTCTGGTTCCTGGATTCAATGTATGCATTACTCCCCCTCCCACCTGGGCTTGTGTGTCCTGATCCAGACAGCTTTGATAAGCATTGTTTAGAAGGTATCTCTCCCTTTTCCATAATCTAGTTACCGCAGCACTGTACAAACATTATACTGCTATTAGGGAAGGAGGGGAATACCTGATTGGAAAAATATTGATATGCCATCGTTTTGCAATTACTGCTTGCAAAAAGCTTCTTCAAATATGAAGCTAGAATGTTATGAAGTTTTCCCTCCTGTGAATCCCTCATGGTACATTGTCTATATGTATTTTCCTAGCATTCTCCCAAGTGGATGGACTCTAGCAGGGGGAGGCCCTGTCACATTTTTAAATGTTAAAGATATGGTCCCACAAGGAAACCATAAGCTTCATCGTGGGCCCTGGCATGACTGACCCAATACTGTTCTTGGGCTTACCTGGCTAGAAAAATGGAATCCATTAATATACTGGAAGAAGAAACTGTTAAAAATATTTCCAAGGCACTCCAAGAAAAAGCCCACAGAGAAAGTAACGCCGAATCACCTTGCGCTGGCTACTGTATTAAGAAAGTGAAAGGGGAAGATGTGGCAGCTACTCACGAATGGGAGGGGTCAATTTTTCTCATCCTGAGAGAATACAGGGGATTGGAAGAGGTCTTCAGCAAGCAAGAGTCATGATGAAACTGATGTGCTTCATGATGAAACTACTGGAAAGTTCAGGGAACTCTGCGCATGCGTGTGATGGCGGACCTACTGGCTCCGGCTCCGTAGCGGCGGCGGTCCGTCGGCGGAGATGGGGGGTCGAAGAAGGTCCGGGGGGTGCTCGCCGGCCAGGAACGAATGAGAGGAGAGGGTCGGCGAGCAAGGAGGACGGGTGCCGGACCGCAGGACCGCCAGGTTTGGCTGGGCGGGGCGGCGAGCGGAGCTGCGATGCCGCGGAGGGCGGCCCAGACGCGGAGGGGCCTGGCCAGGCCTGGCGATGCCTGGCGGCCTAGCGGGGCCTGGTGGGGCCTGGCGGGGCCTGGTGGGGCCTGGCGGGGCCTGGTGAGGCCTGGGGCCTGGCGGCCAAGAAGAGCTGCAGCCCGTTGCAGCGGCCCGGCGCAGCGATGGCTCGGCGATCGGAGGTGGGCGGAGCTATGGGACTGCGGAGGGCGGCCCAGGCGCGGAGAGGCCTAGCGAGGCCTGAAGCCCGGCCTGGGAGCCTGGTGGCCAGGAAGTACTGCGGCCCGATGTGGCGGCCTGATGCGGCGGTGACCTGACGGCCTGCGGAGGGTGGAGCTGCGGAGGGCGGCCCAGACACGGAGTGGCCTAGTGAGGCCTAATGAAGCCCGGCCTGGGGGCCTAATGGCCAGGAAGATCTGCGCCCTGACACGGCCAGGAAGACCTGCGGCCAGGACGACCAGCGGCCCAACGCGGCGGTGGCGCACCGGTCCGGCGTGGCAGCGGCCTGGTGGCCCAGCGCGGTGACAGCTCGGCGGTCCGAAAGACCTGGGAACTTACCATCGTTCCTCAACCCATCCTACCCCATTTGAAATTGCCATCATGAGGACTTTCTCCCCTCCCCCTACTCTGCTGATGGACCTCCAATACGACGGACTGTATTCGAGGAGGGAACTGCTGGCCCTGCGCGACTCCCC